CCCTTAAAATATTCATTTTATTTGGCTAAAGGGGGCAGATCATATTTTCATAGGCTTTGGAATCTTTAATAAGAAAGATAACTATATTGTAGTGGATGAAAGCCTTATCACAATGAAACCTAACAATCTGAAATACATGATAAAAGAAAGAAAGCCAAAGGGCAAAAGACTTAGTTGATTTTCCCATTAATATATAAGTGATAAGTTGGGAAAAGACTAACTTTTCCCCAATTCCTTGTGATGCAATAGTAGGATGGCCAGACACATAAAAGACAGAAATTTTAAAAGTGAATGAAGGACAGAAATTTAAGACTGAATTTCTGTTTCAAAGCCAAACCCTGAGATTAAATACATAGTATTTAAAGATAGTATTGTAGGAAAATCAAATCAAGGAATAGTAGTTTTGCAACAGTGCAACTACCAAATGATCTCTATGGATGGCATTTCAAAAAAAAAAAAAATTTGACATGACTAACATAGTTAACTAACATAGAAATTAATCAAATGTACATTCTGGAAATCACAGAGTAATAGCCCCCATAAAGTATACTGTGACTGTTTTCTCTCTCATATTAAGCAAATTTTTTGGTAAGAGAAAAATAAAATGTTTAATATTTCCATAATGACTTCATAGAATGAATATATATTTTTAAGAAATGAACTATAGAAATTCAAGAAGATTTGGTACATATACAAAATGGAATACTACTCATTGATCAAAAACATAAACTCACGTCATTTCTGACAACACGGGTAGAACAGGAAAGGATCATGCTAAGTGAAATAAGTCAAAAGGAAAAAGATAAATAAATTCTGAATGAAGTCACTAAAATATGGAAATATAGAGAAACGAAAAAAATATAAAATGTAAAATATGGAATATAGAGAAACCAAAAAAAGGGCTAGACAAGATACACTTTAAAACCAACCCTTCATAACTGACCATAGATCTGAGCCATCTGAGAGGGAAGGGGGGAGAATGAGAGCCAGGAAGGTGAGGAGAGCAAAACAGACTATACGGGAGAACTATGAGTGCTCTGGTGGTGGGAGACCTCACTACGGACCATATCTGAGGGGAGAAAGCCTATGTTGTCAAAATACTAATCAGGGTAAAAACAATGGTACTCCATTAATAAAATAATTAATTGAAATATTTTAAAATGTACATATTATATAACAAATCTATTTTAAATACAATTTAATTGACATAAAACAAATATCTTTTTAAAAAGGTTTATGTCGTTAAGTAAGAAAGAATAGAATGAAAAAAAAATTGGGCTCCTAAATTTGATGTATGTTTTCCAGGTACTTCTGACAAGTATTTTTAAAACATTTCCGAAGACGGGACCTCCCTGGTGGCGCAGTGGGTTAAAGCACAGCACTAAGAAGCTAAAGCCACTTCCACATGAGTTCGATCCCCGCCTACCCCAGAGGTGACCACATGGCGCAGCAGACCTCTCCGGACCCACCCGCTGCTCCCCTCGGCAGTGTACTTCGACAATTTGCCCGTTCTGCTCCCCGCTCTGTCTCTGGTGAATCCTCCCACCACCCCTGCTCCTCTGGCCTGTATCCAAGTTCTGTATGCATAAAATAAATAGATCTTTAAAAAAAAAAATTTCCAAAGACAATAAAATGGCCTGATAGATTTTCAATAAAATTCCGAAAATATCTATTGAGGACTTTTTCTCAATAAATTATTGAGAAAAATTATGAATTATTTTGATCACACTGTACTGGGGAAGGACATACTGGGTGGAACATAAAGATATCTGAAGATTGTAAAAGCAGATTTGCCCAGACAATACATTTCTAAGTATACAATACACTGCTAAGCATATATAAATAATATAAAACATTTTCCATACAGCATTAAAAATACACCATCTCTTTATTATAATGAAACTCTAAGCAATGGGGTAGGTAACATTGTCATTCTGAAGATGATGATATAGAATCTCATAGAGGCCTTGTAATTTTGCTCTAAAACCTTTTAAGTGAAGGATGAAGCAATGAATGAATGGTTTTATCCAAGTACTCATTTAGCCACAAAATCATGGCAAGACTTGGGGGCAGTAAAAAAGTACTTCCGTTTTGATGAATTGCTCTGTGCCACCTTATTTCTACCCAGTAAGGCCATGCCAAGCACAAGCATCTCTCTCAGTACTTTTTTCTAACTACCAAGCCCACCAAACAAAATAACTGAGCACAGGAAATGGCAGGAGGGTATTTCACTGATATTCTTGTATACTCTAAATGGAATACTTTTGCTTCCACTAATAATAATAGCTTTCGTCAGCCAAACACAATCCTGACTATGTCATATATGTGGACATTCACCTTTATAGCTACCATAGTAAGAGTGGAAGGGGTTATACCCACATGCAGAGGGAGAGGACTCCAAAACCTAACGAGTGAAGTTAGTTGTAAAGCAGTTCTTGTCCCAATTTATGAGTAGTGTTTGTTTGATTATAAGTGAATCTTTAAACTATAATAAGGAATTGGTAGACTACTAGAAATAAAAAAAAAGTTCTGTTGGAACTTCAGAGCATTTGAGGCAGATGCTCTGGGGAAAAAAAAAGCAAAAACAAAACACTGATTAGTGTAAAAACTTCGTGAAAGTGGGTGACCCAAGCTTCTCCCAGGCTACAGCCTTTGTTTTCTGTATTTCAGTTACATGCAATCATTACATGCAAAAAATGACCAAGATAGTTATAAAAATAATGGAATACTTCTCTCATGGTTGTTAAGTACCCTCTGGGAACTTGGTGCAAATACCAGGAATATTCACTTGTGACCCAAGCTTCTCCCAGGCTACAGCCTTTGTTTTCTGTATTCCAGTTACATGCAATTACATGTAAAAAATGACCAAGATAGTTATAAAAATAATGAAATACTTCACGGTTGGTACGTACCCTCTGGGAACTTGGTGTAAATACTGGGAATATTCACCTGCTGCCCTGGTCTCACCCTAAAGTAAACCCTTCATACAATTCACCAGCCAGCCACTAAAGTATTAGCAGTTGGTATGGCAAGGGTTTGCAGAACCCTGCTCCAGAATGACAAGTATCCATTTCAATGGCAGTAGTCATGACATACCAGGTGTTAACTATTTTATCACCCTTGAGTTTATTCTAAGGACAGAGAACAGCAGTAGGCTACCCTTCACACCAAGACAACATTCTGGGATGTGAAGCAACACCCACTGTTCTCTCACAGGTGTTTATGAGGCTCTGAGAGAAGGATCGCTGTGCTCCAGGCACTGTACATGTGCCTCATTCTTCATGTACCTTCATTCACTTTGCAGATGCCAAAATATAACACGTCTTAACATTATTTGTTTAAAAAAATGTATATACTACATAACAGCTGTATGCACACAGATTCACTGATAGACAAAACATGGCCTTAACATCAGCAATTTGAATTTAGCTAAACAAAATATTTTAATTTTAGAGTAAATGAGGACCATATAACCAACTCCTTTTTTTATAGATAACAAAACTAAAAGCCAGATATACTGTTATTCAAAGACACTGGCCCCGAGTCTTTTTTCCTATTATACCATTTACTCATGGCACTTAATTTTGAAGTGAATAATGACTTGTTTTTAAAGATTATTAGATTGTGAAAAGAAGTTAATTATTGTAATTAAATGTATATAACTACATTATATTTATAAATCATTTAGTTAAAATTAGAAGAGGAAGTTATCAAGAGAGACATACTTCTGAGCAATAGTTGACACAAAATGCATATTACATACAGGCTTATCAGTGCATGAAAAATGCAGCTACAATTAAGATCAGCCTGAATGGAAAACAATAACATTTAGTTAAACATTTAGTATTTTAAATTTTCCACTTTTCCATAGTGTAATTATGTAAATAATATAATTTCTTAGTCTTTCAAAAAATACAAACTAGAATATTTCTAAATCTTTTAATATTAAATCATATATTTTCTCACTTGGAAATAAAGAGAATTTTTGACGATTTTTTCAGTTAACCAAGCAGATAGTATTTTAACTCACTTTAGGAAACTAGTGGCTGGAAGGGATGAGGTTAAAAAAATTGCACCCCCAAACAATTCATTTTAATTATCTCATAACCTTCAGGGAAAATCTACATTAAAATTCTACGAATTTTACCAGAGGGGCATAATTTTTGGTTTGAACATACTGAAATACAACAAACTGATCTACTCAGCTTTCAAGCACTTTCATAAAGTTTTTGCTCAATACTTAGAAACACTAGCTTATATTTTTTTAAAAAATCAATATAAACTAAGAAATCAGATTCAAGATGTTTCTACATTCATTGTTTCAAAACAATTCCCCACATATCAACTGATACATAAGCCATTTTTTTAAAAAAATGATCACACATGTAGGGACATAGAGGTGAGCCAATTAGATATCACCCTTCTGTATCTCCTCAAAATGAAAAACTGTATTAAGATAAAGGGACAGAACTCTAATCAGTAAATAGCTTTGTGTATTATTGTGAATTCTTGTGTAGTTACAGAATTTTACTGGAATGCTCAATGGCCTCTACATAAATTCCTTCACTCTCTTGGTAGCAACTTGTCAGGTAGACTCATTTCCTGTTTTTATCTAAGCACTAACAGGACCAAGCAACCTTCATGAATTTGAAAAGAATCACTGTAAGATATATTTCGCAGCATAGGTAATTTTAAACACAAAAAACCACCTCAGTATTTATTTTCTTAGCTTAATTTTGCTTACTCCAAAATTCACTTTGGCTCAGTAAGTAGCTAACAGCAGACAATTTTAACAGCAACATCATATTACTTTCACACATCTATTAATGACTTTTTCTTTAAAGAGCTGACTTTTAATTCTGCTAGAATTTCCTGTGTTCTTCCATAACAGCGTCATAGGAAATCCTAAAGTTCTCAAGAATTCTTTCATTTCATTGCACCTGCCTTCAGGATCAACAAGTTAGTTTACAAGTATGAAGCTGCAAATACAAAATACTTACTTGTGGATGAAATAAGAATCCTGGAGAAGGTCTCAAGTATTTCTCTTTTAAAGCTTCAAGTGGATCAGTTAGCTTTCTTTTCTCTACTCTGAAAGTTTAAAATTAGAGTTTGGAGATGAATTAGACTAATATATCAATCACTACATAATCACTGACATTTAAAACAGTTAACAATAAAGCAAATGGTAGGTTTCTGGAAAGTACACTCATAAAAATTTGAAGATGACAAGTTCTTAAGGAAACTATGACATTCCTCAGTGCTCAAAAAAGGAAAGTTCTGTTTATTGCATGACTAGAAATGATAATCATGAGGAAATAGAAAGAAATGAAGAGACACAAAGCCGGAGGCATTGATCATAAATGCGTACCTTTCCATTTCAAATGTAGGCAGGAATGCTTGGTGATTTTGAAATCATGTAGATGGGATTCATTTTGAAAATTAAAGCTATTTTCTAACAATGAGGTATTCCACCACAGAGTCATAACATTTTTTCCACCTTTTCCAAGGCAGCAGGACAGTTGCTAAACACACCATACAGGGCCCTCCCTGGTGGCACAAAGGGTTAAAGCACAGCACTATGAAGCTAGAGCAGCCACTTCAGCTCGAGTTTGATCCTTGGCCAGTGAGCTGACCCTCCTAGCATGGCAGACATTTCCTGACCCACCTGCTGCTCCCCTTAGCAGTGTAGTTTGTCAATCTGTCTGTTCTGTTCCCCACTCAGTCTCTGGTGGATTCACTCACCACCCCTGCACCTCTGGCCTATACCCCAGTTTTGTATGCATAAATAAATATAAACACATCATACAACCTGCTGACCACTCTGCAGAACAGGCCTGTTCTCTAACAGAGCTCTTTGAATAGTGCGAGCAGGGTGGGGTGGGATGAGCACGAGAAATGTTTTAAAAGCAGGAAGACATATATAAAACTTACCTATATATTCCTCTGCTTTATAAATGTTATTCTATTTTCTATTAAGCAAATAGGACATGATATTATGTTTTTTGCCAATTCTTGGTAATTTTCTTTTAAAAAATATGCAAAGTCTCTCTCTCTCTACTTTCTATTTTCCTCTCAGGTTTGAGAAGCTCTGCTGAGGTGACGTTCTTTCAAACACTACCGAATCACTACTTTTATAAAAAAAATAATTATTTATGCATACACAGAACTGGGGAACAGGCCAAAGGTGCAGGGGCATTGAGAGGATTCACTAGAGACAGAGTGGGAGGTCAGAACAGGGCAACTGACCAAGTACACTGCTGAGGGGAGCAGCAGGTGGGTCAGGAGAGGTCTGCCACGCCATCTGGTCACCTCCGGGGCAGGCGGGGATCGAACTCATGCTGAAGTGCCTTAAGCTTCTTAATGCTGTGCTTTAATCCACTGTACCACCAGGGAGGGCCCTGAATCACTACTTATACAGAAATAATTAAAATAAATAAAATGTGACCACTTCTTAAAATTCTGTACTATTCTTTGTGTACACCATCTTACTTGTTGACACAGGGGCTTTTATGCCCATTTTATGGGCGAAAAACAATGCTTAGCATAGGAAAACAAAAACTGATACTCAGTTGTCACTCAGGTTTAGATCTATTTGTGAGACTTGTAAAATCACAATCCTATGACCTTCATTGACACTGAAACACCAGAGGGGAAACATGATAAAAGAGTAAGCGAAAGGAAATTTAGGAAATGACGGAGAAGAATGTAATAAATACATGCAAAAATCAGAAGTCTATTGACACTAGAAGGTTCTAAGAAAATGTGAGAAATAATTTTCACAAAGGACAGAGCTATATCATTGATGGAATACAATCTTACTGGCAATCAGTAAGTACAAGTAATTTACAAAGAATGGAAGATCTGCTTTCCCTTTTATTTTCTTCCTTAATAAGTAATTGCCACATAAATTAAGATATAATTGGGGGAATGAGTGCCCAAAAATAGTATTGATGACTCTGAGATATTTTTTGCATTTTTTTTAATCTAGAACCTTGTCATGTTCAAGTGGAGACTTAACATGTAACAATGCTTTTATGCTTAATATATAGAGATACATGAGGTAAACAAAAAAAAAAAGTCTCATGTGAAAGGACTTCTCCCTCTACTTCCTATTAAATAATAGAAGTACAATAAATATTATTTTAAAGGCACACAATTATCTCTTCACAAAAAATAATCAAGCAAAAATATGTAATTATTCCCATCTTTAACAAGTCCTATAAAAATAATTCAAATCTTCCATTAACTCTCCGCAAGTTCAAGATTTGATGAAAAAATTCAGTAATACTTGAACAAATAATAAGGGTAAGTACTGTTTAAATACTAAATTATTCTGAATGATCAAGTGAAAAAAAAATTAACAGAGGCCACAGCAGATTTTGACTTTATTGGAAGTGATTGCAATTGATTCTTAGCTCTCCTTCAGAGACACACTGGCCTCCTTGGAAACCCTTTGAAGTCTTTTTCGTCTATAGGGAGTATCATGTCTCAAAACACAATTCCTCCAAGAGAAGGAAGAGTCCCCAATCTGACCCTATTCTAAATTTGCACACCCTTTTATTATTAACTCAACAAGCATGATTCGGTGGCCAGGTGACTTTGAATGGAATACATAGAAGAATATACAAGATAGCCTAAAGGCACTGCTTATGTGCCAGCAAAACTGAGCTTTCTCTAGACTATGCATGTCGATTCTCTGCACTGCACATGACTCATTTAGCTTGCTAGGTTTGAGAAACTTTTTAAGAACTATAGATATTTTACCCAAAGAATGTTTGGATGCATCAAAGGAAAGTAGGTAATGAAGGCATTAAACAGAGGCTTATTTTGTAAACTGATGGCTTACATTATACACAAAACATTTTTATGATTAATATTTTGTTCACTTGTGGCCAAAAAGATTTTCTTAGAAACAGAATGTGACCAGTGCTTATTAAGGATCTACTGGTAGGTTCACAAAGAATAAACTCTTGCTGTTATATGTCCCATCCTACTCCAAATAACCTGACACATTTAAGCACCCATACATATTTGCAGTAAGCCTTCCGGAGCCTCATTCTTCTGTCACTTGACAACTTGCTTTAAATATGACTTTCCTGTATTTTCCACCTTAGAATGTGTTTTAAAATAAGTTTATCATCAAGGGAAAGAATCTGTGGGCCGTTTCCAAAACAGCCAATTCAAAGACATCCATACATAAGTACAAACCTAAGGAGTTGACTTTCTGAGTCAAAAATGAGTCCACCAGTTTAAAAAGCTTCACTCTGCTTTACTGTAGCGATAAAAAGGCTAGGTTGCAAGTCATCTAAGCGTATAGTGTGAAAACTACCTCTCACGTACTTGTCCACGGGTATCTGTTGCTCATCTGTCGCCCTTACCTGTAAATGGGATCCATAAAGAAAGGGGTGGGTCTTGCATGCTGCAAGGAACCATCCGACGCTGATCTTGTTTCAATGTTGCTTCCTTTCTTTTCCCCAAACACGTGATTTTTTCGAGGCTCGCTCAGCTTTGTGCCACTGGCTCTACTCCTACTGCCCATGCTTAGATCCAGGGGTTGGTCTTGGCTTGTGGCAGGTGTGGCTGGAGGCTTGGAGGGGACAGGAGTCAAGGGCTTCTCATCCTTTCGCTTAGTGGTGAGATCAAAGGGAGACTCAGAGCTTCCCTTCTGCAGTTTCTTTACTTCACTTGGTGATTGGGGTTCCATTTTCAAAGGTAACGATCTCAAGTCTCTATCAGGAAATGGGTACATTGATTGAGAGAATGCTGGAAAAAATGGGAGGGGAAACATGGAAGGGTAAGGTAAAGCTCCAACTTTTTTGTCTTGCAGCCCCACCAGTCCTGTTGAACCAAAGTATTTTTCAGCAATAGAAGCAATAGCCTTTATAGAATCATTCACAGCTCCTGACACGGCAGTTTGCTCCTCTAAAGATGGTGAGAAAATGGAATGATTGCTGTATTCTTTCTTATTATGTATTGAAGCCAGATTCTGAAGAGGGCTTACTTTGTCTTTGAACATTTTACCATTTTCTTTAAATTTCTCTTTATCACTTTCAATGTCACTTTCCAGATCAGAGCCCGAGGTTGTTTCCAGGTCACTGCCACTTGGTGTACTGACATCATCAAGGTCACTACTCTCTGACTGGTCACTGATTTTCTCAAGGGGCCTCTCTTCAGAGGACCTCTCGGGCTGGAGCTCCACTGGCTTATTGTCCCCTACAGGTGGGTGTTTAGATAGTGCCTTCAAAATATCCTGTGTAGCTGGCAGTATCTGAGGATGTGTCATGAGGGGACTTTGACTTTTGTTTGTCTGTTCAGTACTTGATAGTCCTTTAACAGGAGAACTAGCAGGTATCAAAGGAGGCCTGTGGTACAAGCCGGAAGGAAACAGACCAGGGAAGCTAAAAGAAAATCCAGGAGCTGTTGGAAAGGTAAGACCAGCAGGATGCCTATTGGCACCAAAATAGTCAGCAAGGCCCGGGTTGGCATGACTCATATTAACCATGGACGTTTTATCCATAGCTGGGGTTCCAGGAAGTGAAATGCCTTGGCCAAAAAATCCACCTGCCGCAAAATGGTTCTTGCCCTCACAAAACCTCCTGTGTTTATTTAAGGAAGACGTAGTGCTGAACATTTGTCCACAGTCTTTGCACTTGATTTGGGTTCTGCAATCAGCATGCATGCGCTTATGACGACAAAGGTTTGAAAATTGAGTATAGGATTTATGGCAGACCTCACCTGTGTGCAAACAACAAAAAAGAATCTCAGGCTTTATGGCAATTGCTTCTGAATTTAGCAAGTATCACAATTGGTTTACCCAAAATTTTAATTAGGAAGCCAGGAGGCACCAGTTTGGGTGCTCTGAACACAGAAAACCCCATTTCACTAGATTCCAAAGCAAGGCATCCAACCTGACAAATGTCTTGAGGCAGCACAAATATTCCATATATATTGATATATAGAGATATATAGATATATATAAATATTTTGTCATCCCCACTGAATAATTTTGGCATCATATTTGTGTAATTAAATACTTAAGGAAAACTCAAACTCCAGCATGCATTGCCCTCCCACCCACTACTACTCTGAGAGAATTTTTAGAAGACATTACATGCACTAAGCATGCAATATACCAAGAACCCCTGAAAATGTTTAGACCCTCTGAAAAAGTCTACATTGTAGGCACCAAAACAAAACAGTTTTTCTCTCAACCAGAAACTTCACCTTTATTCCCCCTTCCCTTGGGGGAAAGGCCTGTGACTGCTCTACCATTATTTAATTTGTATTATATCATACGCTCTCATCATTCACACATCAAAGCCATACAACAATGCACATTGTGTATTCTGAGACATTTTTAACAATCATTTTCATGATTTGAGAAAGACTGACATAATTTACAATAGCTCTATTTTAAGCCTGCAAAGGAAACTAAATTGAATGTAGCCCATCCTGCATTGCTGGTTCCCATGAACTATGATCACGTCCTCTGACTTCCCCTCACACCAGTGGCTGTGCTAACCTTCCTGCATTTATGAAATCCCCGTCCTTGAGAAACATGTCCACTTGTCCTATCTTCACCAGTTATCTCAGGACTTAACTTCCATGAGTTATAGCCAACTGTAGTAAGCAGGGGACAGAGCTTTGTGCTAATCCAGAAAGAACTCAGTAGTGGGTGCGGCTGGGCAATGTCCCACTTGACCAAAAAATGTGCCAAAAACACAGAGCATCTTTCCCTTCACTTATGTGCAAACCTCTCCAAGTACAGTTTAAGACCAAAACTCCATAACCTTTGAGAACACCTTTGCTAGATGACTCCCACTCACTCAAGTCCAGTAAGTTTCTGTGATCAAATTCTGAAACATCATATGTTTTATTACATTTTGTAAGAGTGAATCTACTCTTTGTGTGAAGTTACTTTAAATGCTTCTGTGCATGACTAGGACACACAGAAATATACTTGTTGGCAAGTGTCGAGAAGCTAAATTATACAAGAAAATGAATTGGAGAAAAATACAATATTTAGCACTTTCACGAGATGTATCTTTACATGGAGATGGCTGGGCTCCAAGGGCGAAGCAATAATCACGTTTATTAAAAAAAAAAAAAAACTTGTATATCTTGATCACATATCTCAACCAAAAACTTTCATTATGCCACAAACCACCAGACAAGAAGTACCAAGTGATCCCATGGCTATTTACTTTACTGTAACACTTCAGAGACATCGGTACATATATCAGTCTGTCTACCCAATATTAAAGGAACTTGCAATTGTGGGATAATTTATAACATTGTGAATTTCTAACATTGCGGAGGCTATAACATGCACTCTAACTTTTTAAAGATAAGCTTTGGTTTTAATGGGAAGAGAAGATATAACAGTTATTCTGTTGGAATATATTAATCAGGGTCTGCTTTAACAGTAAACCAATATTACATCAATAAAAAATACAATCAAAAAAAGAAATTGATGGTAACTGAGCAATGAAACAAAAAAAAGCATACTGGTTTTACATACTAGTTAACCATAGACAATAAATATACATACTATACATATTCTCCAAAAGACTAATTCAAACCATACGATGTACAAGGAAGAAACATGAGACTTTAACTAGTTATACTATCAGCCGTAAGCAATAACAAGAAGTAATTATTTCTTATTAAAAAGCCAACACCTGCCCTCTAGGTATTAAAAAGCATTAAGAAAATGTCCTGATGCGTGTTCAACCAAGGTGTAACTTTCTGATTGTTTTTCTTTTTTTTTTGGCAATGTAACTCTCTAATCATCTTTTTGTGTCTGAATAGCTTTAAGAACTCCGGGGCTTCTGTATATTGGAACGACAGAAGGTGCATTTGCCTTTCCTAGTCAAACCCCTTGTCATACGGATGAGCAACATCTGTGTCAGGTCAGTTCTGGTCTCAAGAACACAGATTCAGGGATGTCTCCATAGGCAAAGGCTTTGTTTTTCTCATTGAAGGCCTGACCTTGCCCCCCACAAGCCACCAAGCCTGCAGGTAAATGACTCAATCGATGTTGAAGTCTATACTCTACTGTAATTTTCTCTGTAATAAGGAATTAGCTAGCAGTTAATGTTGCATTTTTCAACTTATTAAACAAATTAAGAGGTATTTTGAATATATTCAACCTAATAGAGCATGTGGTTTCTATTTGGGAAAGCTGGAGGTTTCTGTAAAGCCAGTGAGTAATTACCTTAGCAATGGTGACTCTGGGCTCAAGCTTGGCGGCACACTGTAATAAGAGACAGTTGCCATAAACACACCAGTGGGGTAAATCGTGGTGTGTGGCCTTCTGGTGAGAAACAGATATCAACTTTAGGTGAACCTCCTCCACTCCAAAGTCTCCACACCAACTCCTCTTTTGTTCCGAAATTACACGGCTATTATTCATAATTACCCCACGGTTCTGTCAGATTTTACATTTGAAGAATGCCATCTGCTATTTAAATTTACTGATAATTACTGAAAATACATTTATGGGAAGTAGTTGATGCAACCTAATTGGAAAGGAACACCCTATAGACCTTTAAAGTAAAAAATGTGACTTCAACACAATTAAAATTCCAGATCTGAGAACCTGAGATGATAGGAATCTATGTTTTCTAACTTTATTTAAATAATAGAGAAGTCATTAAATGTGTGAGTCTAATTTGTTGTGGTCTATTCTCTCAGGTTTTTATACACACAAAAAAAATAATAATAAATTTGTCAAAACTTATTTATGTGAAATTGATAATAAGTGAAAAATCTATGTCTTTAGCATATGAGCATACATTATTAGGATGTTATACCCTAGAGCCGGGTATGCCTTTTTGAGATGACAATTCTAAAATTTCTACTGTATACTTTATTTCTTGTGACTTTCAAAAGTGCTTCCCTACGCAGAGTTGGGTACCCCTCTGTTTATTTGGTAGTCCTCTTTACTCCACCCAGGGAACAGGAGAACAAGACTCTACTGTAAACTGGAAAGGGAAATAATAGCTCTCTTGGTACTTGGAAGCACAAAAGAAAACTATGTCAAGGCAAAAACAGGGAGGTTAGCTTCTGACATCGCCATGCTGGCACTGAAAAGTAGTTGTTTTTTTTTTTTTTTTTTTTTTTTTTTTCCCCTACCTGGTCCTGTAGTAGTGTCTCACTGAAAACTATCATAGATTTGTCAGAAAAGCTCTTTAACCAGAGTTCCCAAAACAGAGGTTTTGCCAACTACTGAATATATTTCCACCACTTCTATGCTTATCTGGATCCAAAATCAGTCTTGAAGTTTGTAGCACAACTCAGTGACTCATTGTGTTTATGTGCCCAAGTGAGCAATGCATCAAAAGAAGTCCAGAGTCCTTGCCCAGATAGATGGACTGAGAACAACTGATTTTCCTTATGAACTATTTCAGTAAAGTACAGGACGTAGGAGAGGGACCCAGAAGAAGCAACAAATAAGGACTTTTGGGCTTCATTCGAAGTATGCTACTAACGTGCTCTGTACTGGGATGTTCTAAGTAGGTGGTCAGATCAGATGTCCCCCAAAACACACTGACTATAAATTTGCTTGAGTGCAGTGGATTATAGAGGCAGCATGTCTAGCATCAAAGTGAAAATGTTCTGCTTTTCCAGTAACTGAGAACTACTGATCTGTAACCTGGGATCGGTAACAATGGGTAGATTAAAGGATATTTTACACCGCTCACTCTCCTCCCCCATATACTAACACACACACACACTCACACACACACACACACAGAGTCATCAGCCTACTTGCCAGGTGGGGTTCTTCCAGTACTTTCTGATCCAGAACAGGTTTTTATCACTTCATCTTGTTTAGTATCTGTTATTTGCTGTTTTACAAAGCCATGGACATTTTCAGTGTGAGACAAATCTGGCTGTCTCTATTCAATCTTACAACCTGGGGAGGCTCTCCTTTCATTATTAAATAACTTCTGTTTTCTTGATCTATTAATAATTTCATCTAAAAGCAAACACCCCTAAGATCACAGGCAAAAATACCATAGATTTGGTGATGTAAGATTTTCTTGTACTAGAAAATAGCCATAGTGGGCTATACCCACCCACCCCAGTGGCCATGCAAGGCGTCTCTCCTGGTCAAGTGCCTTTTGTAGGAGAGACAGATGCAGGAAGGAGAGCTGGAGTGTTAAAAACTTACAGATAAAGGGCTTCACACTGCTGTGGATGTGCTTGTGTTGTTTGAGGCCCGACGAAGTGGCAAATGTTTTGCCACACTCCGGGCAAGCGTGGGCCCGGGCACCAACATGCTGAGAGCGAATGTGCCGCTGAAGGTTGCTAGGGTCCGTGAAAACCTGCTAGGAAATGAGTACTGATTAATCGAGAAACTTAATTCAAGGACACAGCCAAGAAGACCAGGAATGACTCAAGAAATTTTGTTTATTTATTGTGGTTTTGTTTGTTTTTCCCAAAGATCAGCAGCCTTTTGTGGGCCTCCTTAGGGTAAAGACTAAATTATTTAGCTTACTATCATTAACACAAGTGTCCAATGATATCAGCTGAACGAAATAATTAATAGCACCCTTTTAACGCACTCAGAGTGATTAGAGTTCAATGATAAAATGCTAGTCATGATATTATTAAAAGTCCTACACTATTTTTAACCTTTCAACAATGACACACTGAGACCAAATTGGGGGAATTTTTGACCAACTGAAGTACCCCACATCTACTGAAAATTTCCCCCTATGGGTTAAATTCTAATACTGCTTACCTAACTTACCATTTCCTAAATTCATCCCTTTAGACACTGCACCGACAAAGAAAATTGGAGAAAAATCACCCATGCATCTGTACCGCCAAATGTTATGATACCCAACATCATCAGAAAAGATATTTAAATGTTATTTGAGAAATAGAAATCAACTGTCATGACACGCACACATATTTTAGTTTCATGTTGCCTGAGAAACATGCAAATTATGTGATGAGAATACCTGCTCAGTAATGGTCAAGGTGAAAGGTTTTCATTTCTCCCTTATGTTTTTAAGCACAGGCCACTTGGCAACCATGCCACTAAGGCACTCCACTTTTAACTAGAATCAACCATGACTTATAGGAGAAACTTAGGTACAAAAGTCTGAAAATGTAGGAGCCTCCCATTCTTCCTAACAGGCATTCAGAAACTTTATATGTAGCTTCCTCACAAAATGCTATTAAAAGAAATCAGTAATGTGCATTGGGTAAAATTTTCATTCTCCATAAGGCTATAAAATAGCCCCGCACTGGCAAGCCAAGAGCAGAACCAAGAATTTACCAAGGATGTCTGACACCTAGTTCTAGAACTCACCATTAAGTCTCACTTCCTCCCTTACAAAAATAAAAGGATACCCACTAAGTGTTTTTATACACTGTACTAATGCCTTTTAGCATACAACACTCAGTCTACTTTTCTCAAGATATTTATAGTTTCCCCTCTCAAGGCTTGTTTTTATATATCGTAGCAAATGATGGATTAAGAGAGAGCAGGATGACAGAGAGAGGCCAAGTAGTCTACAAATTCACTGTACCTTGGCACAGTTTTCACATTCATAGTGCTTTCCACTGTCATGTGACATCTGGTGGCGAATTAAATTGGACTTCCAGTTAAATGCCTTGGGACACTGATCACACTTGTATTCCCTTTCTTCAGTATGTGACAACATGTGTTTCTCCAGACTGTTAAGAGAACAATTGACTTAATAAGAACTGGTGACAAAGAACACATTCATAAACAGAACGTCATTTTATTACTAACCCACTGGCAATTAGAGAAATAAGAAGGAAAAGGAGGTGAGGAGAAAAGAGAAGAAACAGGCTTGCAACAGACAAAAGTACATTTTATATTTCCTAGACTGTGTCTCTCACTAATACAGAGAAGTGCCCTGTTGTTAGGGAATAAATCTGCTACAGCTAGCATGGATTCCTTGCCAGTTTAAGGGCATGATAAACAATTAGCCATTTGTCCTCTTCAGGATTCAATACACAATTCTAAAAGTAACAGATATTACTAATGTTCATTGAATTCAAGCATGAACATTCAAACAGAAAATGCTTAAGGACATGCAGGTAAGTACTGTAAAGTGTATATAATGTCTGGATTCATAAATTATTTTTGTTTTTACCTATATTGCAATGAGAAAGTAAGCTATAAGCTATTTATTCAATAAGCAACTTTTCAATGTAACCTTAAATAAGCTGAAATATACACATGTTATATAACATGTATGAATTAGGGAAGGAGAACCATGATAATATCACAAGCACTATTAATTGTGCAATCCACTAGCACAAGCACTATTTAAAGTCCTGTCAAAAAATAGCCATGATCAGAAGCTTCTTATAAGCAGTTTCTCCAGATTATAAATCGTAGACTATTTTCCCATCTCAAATATTTCTCTCTTCTAAAATTTATATATAAAATATGCATAACTAGATGAAAAGCAAATATTACTGATAATGAATTATGATATTCAGAAGACCTTTACAACATTTTTGGTCATCAAATACACACACACAACCACTAGGAAACTATCCCCAAAATAAAGTAACCAGAACTTCTTGGAAAATATATAGCCTGTTTTAATTTTGAAATAAAAAAATACACAAAATGGGTCTTGAACTGAGAGGTAGAAAAAAAAGCCTGAAAGTTATAGATCATGTCCAAAAAACTGGGGTGCCAACTTAATGAGATGCCCATTAGCCAAAGCTGAGGGAATGTAATTTAAGCATCAATAAAAAAAAAAAAAAGAAAGAAAAGAAAATCTTACATCTTAACAACAACAATATTCAAAAACACACAAACAGAACTTCATGAGTCACCTTTGGAAGAATACTGGAAAGCCAAATCCACATTCTTAAAATAAAGTCAACAAAGGGAAAAGCTAAGCCAGATATTTTGCCTTTTTAAAATACTGTCTTTTACATATGAAGTATGCTTCAGGATGAGCAGATAAACAGTGAGGGACGTATTGATGTGTAGACTTAATCCAAATAATAAAGAATGAAAGAATGATAGAAGTCAAATATGTTCATTTTGTAGCCCTCCAAGGAATGAATTAATGTCAGTAATTCATTATTTGCATCCTGGTGGGAATAAATGATGTCATCAATGAGGCATACTTCCTAAAACATTGAATCTAAATCTGATAAAGTCTTGGGATATAAATATGAATTTACAGGAAAAAGAAGGATGAAGAAAGATGTTAAATAATACCAAGGGAATATGATCAGCAGAACCCAGACTGGAGGAAATGCTACAAGAAAAACATTCAATGTTTTCTATAAATAAATTATAATGACAGAAAGACCTACTGCCTTTCGTTGGGGGAACATATAAATTAGAAGAGATATAAAAAGCATGTCAATTTCAGTGGTGGACTTTATAATTGATCTTAATTCAGACAAAATACTCTAAAAATTATGACAAAACTGGAGGAACTTGAACACTGACTGAATATACAATGATATTAAGGAATCCTTATATTTTATTTTTAAGATTTTATCTATTTATGCACACAGAAATGAGGCGCAGGCCAGAAGTGCAGGGGCAGCAAAAGGATTCACCAGAAACAGAGTGGGGAGCAGAACAGGAAGATCAACAAGGTACACTGTTGAGGGGAACAGAGGGCAAAACAGGAAAGGTCACCTCCAGGGCAGGGATCTAACGCACACTGAAGTGTCCATGGCTTGGCTTAGATTAGCATTGCGGTGCTTCAACTTGCTGTGCCACTGGGGAAGGCCTATCCTTATATTTTAAGTGTGGTGTAGAACTTCTATTTTAAAGAATCCTTATCGCGAACAGATACATAATGAAATATCAATAACAGGCTACCTTGTTCAGGATTTGTATCAAATAATCCAAAATGAGTATAGCTGAGAAAAGACTGACCTTGTATGATAATTACTGAAGCTGAGTATACAGATGTGTATTATACTACCATCTCAGTTTCATATATATTTTTTCATAATAAAAAAGTTATTAAAAATAAGTTACTAAGCTTGCAAGCATGTGAAAATCACAAAAAATGTTGTTGCTTTCATAGCATTCAATCTTTTCCATTTTTTTTTTTTTACAGAAAATGTACCTTAACTTTTCTTCTTACTGGCTTGTTTTCAATTATATTTATTGAGGAAATGTAGGTTTACATCATGTATTGTTTTAAGGTTCGCAGTTTTGAATCTATGGAAATGTACGTTTTCTCACCATGCCCACCACCAAAATCCACCGAGCTCCACTGGGTCCCTTTTATTTACCTGTGAGATGATCATTCAAAATTCAAGTATCAAGTAATACTTCTGTGTGTCATGTCTAAATATGTTACCCAGGCATGGGAGTGTGCGAAAGAATAAAGGTCCCTTTCTCATAACTTGATAAATTAGAAATAACTTTCCCATAGTTTTCTTCTTCCTAAGTCTCCTCCCAATAATTCTATTCACATTGGCACATAAAATTATTTTCCCTTCCCCATGAGTCAGTCGAGTTGGTGATTCCATTCTATTTGAACACAAATCTCAGTATCTTTGTAAACAAAAGGTGCCAGGAGAGCACAGGTGTGTGGAGTCACAACAAAGGCCCTATCCTTATCTAGAACATGGTATGGTCTGGTCTAGTACGCAAGTTGGAATGTTAATTAATGAGAGAGATATCAGTAACTGCAGGCAGCACTAAACTGAGTCAGGGACATCTAAAATCATTGTGCAGACTGCCATTATCATTGTCCTCAGCAAACCAGGCACGCCATTTAATGACATATCATATTTCAATGCATACATCAAGACTTAAACTCCGAAATATTGCCCTAAATATTGAGTCTAATTTTTTCTCTAGTTCCCATGGTATGAGAGTCTTAACAGTATGGTACATGGTGCATAACGTGGAAAAAAAGATAGCAAAGTAAGTGGATTTTGCTTTTTTTGCTTCTTCTAAACTAGCGTAAAACCCATAGTTTCTAACTGATTATCAGTTACTAAATGGTGACAGAAAGAATAAAAGGGCATGTGATTCTCAAAAAAGCAAATATTCATAACAATCCAGTCAGTCATTTGTGAGATTTCTGCACTTTTCATAGAGTTAGATCCCAATTTATGGAGCTTTGCTTAACCTGAATTCTTTTCATCTTTTGCATATCAACCTTTGTTTCTTGCCCTTTATTTGGGGGGTGGGTCCTAAACTTTGTTCAATATTTTACATTAAAGAAACAGAATAGAGTAGTATATCAAGAAAGGATTTTTCAATTGTTTAATGTACAAAGCAAGAAGATAGGAGTCAATAAAGTGAAAAATATTCAGGAAATATAGTTTCTGCAAGTAGATAAATTATATAACAAAATACCACTTAGATGAATGACATTAGGCTGAATAGTGACATGCTATATCCATCTGGCTGAGTTACCTAAAACTGAGTTTTGAGGGTTCATCCAATGCCAGATAGATAATTAAGTTTCCTTAATGTTTTCCATTGAGTGTTTGACTGAAAGAACTAAACTGTCAGTTGACTTTGGCATCAAGGGTAATTGACTCAGGCTTAATTTTACAGCTAGTCAAAGTAAGATGCTTTCTGTACCTAAGAAATGTTACTATATACAAACAGTAGGAAGTAATTACATTTCAGTGTTGAATATGTCATTTTTGTTTTATAACAAAATTGAAAGAAATATAATCTCCAATATCAAAGATGATGTTTTACAAAATGAGGATTTGTCTTCCATTTGCAAATCCAGACAGAGATCCACCCTTTTGACTCAGTCTCCTTTAAGAATGGATTGTACTTGATGCTTATTAGTTACTTATGCATTAAAGTGAATGGCAACCCTCCTTCATAAGACACCTACCTAGATGAGTGGTTGCAGAGCAGTTAATATAGAGATAAAAAGGAGAAGAAGAAGAGGAGGCACTAAGAAAGGAAACAAAATGGTGAAATGAGTGATGTGGAGTTTCCAAGACAAGCTATGAGTAATCTACCCTTTTGAGTAAGGTCAGGGATATACTATTATACCTACTGTAGTATCCTGATGTTACATGATTTGAAATTCTGATTGTAGCTCCAAAGATCAGTTCAGATTTGAAAGCAAAGTAATGAATATATTTCAATAAAACAAATATAATACAACACATGGCAAAACTGGATACCAAGGCAAAAACTAATAGGTAAACATGAACAAACAAAACTTATTAGTGGATAAGCACCTATCTAATCTTAAAAACCAGTTTATAACATAATTTCTGTACAGCTTTCAAAAGCCAGATCTCAGGGTTGTTGTTTTCTTTAAAAGAAATAAAAGATTCTGACTTCTATTCAAAGGAATATAAAAAGCTACTATATCACTGGAATATGATTTTCATTTTTTTAAAATATTAAAAATTAATTTAAGTAGATCATATTTATCTTTCTCCTTTTACAGAAGTAAACATTTTGTTCATCTCATATACTTCTCTTATTCCTTCAACATATGCAGTTTAGTTGCAGAATAGTTGAAATTAAGTTCATATTTTACAAAATTATCAAGAAATTATCTATCTTTCACTGACCACTGGATCTATTTTTTTATCCTCTAAATGTTTCTAGGGGTAGTATATGATTAATTAGCACCAATATTGTTACAGCCTGCTTGAGTTTTCCTCTAAGTGAGATGTTTGCTATCACATTAAACTTTCCCGATAACACATCTAGATAATAATAAAAAAATTCTTTAATAAACATTCTATCTGGCATCAAAACAACTAATTCCAACTTCATTATAAATATTTTACAGATGACAATTTCCAAGGAAAAATATTTCTGAACATGTAACTAACACACTTATTCAGCTCACTGAAGTTCCAAATCTCCCTTTGCATACACTTTGAAAATTCAGCATAACATTTCATTGCAGAGTAAATAAACATGTTTTGCAGTGCGGCATGCCATTTCTAACCTTTGCAAATCAGGAAAAACTTGGTCACATTCCTTACACTCCTGGATTGTATGTATCTCTTGGAGATCATTTTCGCTTTCAAGTTTTTGCTGAAAGTCCTCTTCCACCATCGAAAATGCTGAGTGAGGGGTACTGCACGGGAACTTTTGGTGATCTGCTAGTTCAGCCTTGGATTCAAAAATCTGATCACAGTCTTCACAGCGATATTGCCGTTCTTCTGTGAAAATAATCGAGGTGTTACTATGACCAATAGATCTGAGACATACAACCACAAATCAGCAGACATTATTTGGTTGTCATTTCCTCCACTTTTTAGCAGGGATTAAAATTCATATACATAAAGAAGTCAGGACAGAGCCTAGAATAACAACATAAGTGGATACTATAGCCAGACTGTAGTCCTCTCAACCTCTAGAACTTCATGACTTAATCTTTCCAGGGTTTAATATTCATGGGATATTAAAGGCAATGATGGTCATTTGCTGAGCATCATCTATTTTTTTCAATCCTGTACATAGATTATTGATATTTATTAAAACCAAAGTAAGGAATTATATGTCAAATTTTTAGCCAATTTTCATATGAGGGAATTGAAACTCAGAGAAGGTCTGTGATCATTCCAGAAATCACAGAGGTAAGTGTCTCAGAGAATATGTCCCACCTCTCTGTGCCATTCTACCAGGAGGGACACAAAGTCTTTATCTGAACCATGGGGCAGCCTGGGTAATATCAGCAAACTTGGAAATGCTTCATTATATTTGTCAGTACTGATTATGGGATACAGAATGTTTTTAGCACTTTCAGGTTAAGTTACCACAAGGTCAGCATTAACTGGCATGGCATTTATAAAGAGCAAACACATGAATTTGTACTTTCAATCACTAAGATAAATAAATGGCCATGGTGGAAACTAGAGATAATGAGGTTATAAAGTGTCAGGTAGTAATGGCGGTACTTCGATTCTTTCCCTTTGAATAGTTTGAGCCCACTCTGAGGCTGTACTACCATGAACGTATCACAACGATATAATCACTGAAGTCTAAAACACTTGGCAGTGCTTACAGACACTAGGACAAACATCAGGATGAATAACTCCTCTTCTACAGACTCATGGCTGAGGACCTAGAACCAGCTGTCCACTGACTGAATATCAGTTTAAGAGATATTATTTCTGTCACCTACCAATACTGAGCATTTTGTTGGGGGATATACAAAATTCCCAGAAGATACATGAACAGACTGTGATGTAGTTTATGACAGATGCATGTGAAGATCCTCAGGGAGTTAAGAACATGGCTAATCCATCTAACCCTAAGAAGAGAGGCTCAGCAAGAAACTGTGAAGGGTAAGAATCAGCCAGGAAAAGCAGGCTGAGGAAAGGTGTTTCAGGCAGTGGGGTGTCTTAAACCAACGGGGAAGATCAGAAAAAATGGGGTAGGTCCATAGGGGTAGGTCCATAGAATAGTAATGTTGTGGTATAGCATGATAGGAGTGGCAGGTGAAGTTAGAGGGGGTAACAGGTCATTGAGGGCTGAAGAAAGAAAGGAAGAGGAAGTCACTGAAAGCAGGAATCCACATCTGTAGGCTGAAAAGTCAAGCAGAAGGGTCAACGAGGGACACTGCTTTTATACTTCACACATGATACTGGTTTAGTTTCAACTAAAGCATTAGCAGGGTGGTCAGCAACTTAAAGAAATCAGTACACACATTCAGTAGGGTTGAAAGTTAACTCTGAAAGGTAACTCTGTATATAAATGGCTAAGGAAGAGGGTGATTTCCTAAAATAATTCATTATGACTCTCAAGAAAGGTATCTCAATGGAATAATTCAAATAACAGAAACAAAATGTTTCTTAAAATATGCACACAGTTCACATTTTTAATACTTAAATTTATGATTTTAGTCTGAACACAAACAGGACTCCCAGACTAAATGAAATGTGAAAAGCCTACATTTGAAAAACAATAAAATATTATTTTGAATTCTGATACCACCACTTAGTAGTCATGTGATCTTAGCCAATTTCTTAGCTTTAGTTCACTTCAGTAACTCTATTTGTATACTGGGATGAATTCCTTCCTTAAAGATTTGATCTATGTGTAAAGATAAATAAAGCAGTACATGAGGAGCTATAATACTGAGCATCAGGTAGCTGTGTAGAGCACATTGTAGTTCCTCTCTCCAAGAAAAGGTAACTACCAGAAGTATACAATACAAATCTCAATTTAAACATTGTATATAACAAAAAAGGTGTATGCATGGACATGTATACAATACATTGAAAACAAAAATCAACTGAGGGGTTCAAGAATATTGTAAAGGCGGGCCATTCATGAATGGTAGCCTGAGTAGAACATTACTTCTACTTGGGATTTTTAGAATAGTAAGCTAATAATTTATTTTCCAAAACCATTACTTGAAAATGTTTTAGATATAACATTCACCAAAGAAGTGTTGACCTGAGAAAGCCTAGAGTATGCATTTTTATTTTTTTAAGATTTATGCATACAGAACTGGGGGTACAGGCCAGAGGTGCAGGGATGGTGAGAAGATTCACCAGAGACAGAGTGGGGAGCACAACAGGCAGATCAACGAAGTACACTGCTGAGGGGAGCAGTGGGCGGGTCAGGAGAGGTCTGTGGTGCCATGTGGATCACCTCTGAGGCAGGCGGGGATCGAACTCATGGCTTTAGCTTCTTAGTGCTGGTCTTTAAACTGCTGTGCCACCAGGGAGGGCCCGAGCACATTTTTTAAATGTAAGCACTCCCCAATGTCACAGAGGCCTTTCCCCATCTGGACTCATCTCTACCAGGCAGGTAGGAAACTTGGCATCTAAGGTTATTTTGCTTATCATAATTTCTAAGAAGAAAACAACTTTCAAGAGGTATCCCAAAATACAACTGGCATAATCTACAGAAGCAAAAGGTAGCTCAGGCAAAATGAAAAATGCTTAAGTAAAGAGTCAGTCAGTGGTAGTTTCCCTCACAGAGGTTCAGACAAAGCCTGAGGCACTCCCAGAGGCCAGAAGACCGGGAGGTGGTGCTGTCACCTATCCCCACCTCTCAGGTAAATTGGAAAAGGCCACCCTTCCCCTTCCCAGTGGGCCTTCCAACTACAATCCTCTAAGCATCACTAGACTACGTTGAACAAAAACATATTATATTAGAGGAGAGAGATTGAAAGAGAAGGAACAGTGTATTAAATCTTGCCCCAAAGTTACAAATCAGTGGACGTAAACTTCTCTTAATATTTCTCAGTATACACATCACAAGTAATTATAATTATCTTTGAGGTCCCTTTGTTGACCTATAGTCTCTAACCTAATTTCTCTGGCTTTAAAATTTCCTCATCTGTGCTTTTCTCCCAGTCAGATTCCACGTCCCTCCACCCCCCATGTGCTAACTAGGACTTTGTTCACGTAGAAACACTTCAAGTAATAGAACATTAGGTGGAGAGATACTCGTTAAACTTAAAAAAAGGCAAGACCAAGCTCCCTGGAACAACACTGGCAGAGTGGAGCATTCTCAGAAGACTAAGGCAATGACAAAAGGTCTAACCAGGTGATGTCTCAGTCCAAATATTCAGAATTTCTTTGATTTCCACTTCAGGAGAGCCCTCTGTTTAGTTTAGCTTCACTATGATATTACCCAGATGCCACGCCAAGAAAAAGCCACTCAGAAAGAAGGGATCTGTTGAAACTAACATTGAAAAGGTAGCAAAACTAACAAGCACAAAGTATAAGGGACCATAGCCAGGTGACATCATAATCTCCAAATTGCTGGCGAGGAGGGTGGTGGCTTGAGGGTACTAACCGTGGATATCCGGAGCCATCGTTTCATGAGGATAATCTTCACTCTTCATGAACAGCAGGAGTTCCTCTCCTGGCGCGATGTCTGTGACTACTCTATAAAATATCTTCAAATGACAAAAAAAGGGAAGGGAGGGAAAGAGAGAAAAGTGAATATTAGGAAAGGGTGAGTTATACACGAAGATCTCTGTACATATTATTGTACCTTAACAAAAAGATTTCATTTTAACCAAAGAACAATGACTTCCTGCTTCATATCCTGAAAATTAGTCCTCTGATGACAAATGGAAAGTTGTGACTCTCATGCTAATTCAAAAGTCCTTTCCAACCCCAACTTCACAAATCAAGTTTTCCTAATGCAAAGCTTGCTGTGTCACATGGACTCTGTGTAATGTTTAACAACTAATTTCCTTCTCTGAATTTCTTACGCTAGTGAACTCACAGTTATTGTGTCTTACATTTTGAGGCAATAGACCTGCTAAGAGCAGTGGAGGAACAATTACCTGCCTTGAGCATGTTCTCAAAAATAGCACTTTCTCAATAATGCGTTTTTCAGGTAATAGGTAGCAAGAGCAACACATCAAGAATCACAAGAGCATGATTCAAAAGAAGATAGTCAAGAAGGAGTTTTGTTTTGTTTTGTTTTGTTTTGTTTTGTTTTGTTTTTAAGAAGCTGAATCCTCTCGCCTTCCCAAAGTGGTGCTCCCAGATCCAGAAGCCACTACCTGCCCAAGTTCCTGATTCCTACTCTTTGAAAGCCACATTATACCTTTAAGTGATGCACTTACCAGGGTGTTGGGGGTGTGCTTATTTCCATTGCTTTCTACAAAATGCTGAAGAGAGGAAGGATTTAATAAATCTGTTAATGAATGATTAAAAATCAGTCTGATGAGTGTGGATCGAATACTGAACTATAATTTCCAAGGGGCGGCCTCCTTTTCCCTAACCACCTCTGTGACTCAAGTCGTTGCCCATTTTATATGTCTAGTGTTTCTTTCATTTATAAAAGCATTTCATCATGAAAATATTCAAGGTGTTTGCTCATTTAACCATAGAAATTAACTTGGCTTTTCATTCTATTCTAAGAATAACTAACTGGTATTTTGATAATTAGAAAAAGGTTAAAGAAGAAAAATAGCTCTACTTTTAATTGCTGAAAACAAAACCAACTACATTCACCACACACACACATGCACACACAGATACACATACACACTACATACTACTACCAACAATAACAACATTTGCTCCAATGGGGAGAAAAATCACATAATACAAAGTAAATACAACTCACTAAGAAATGGAAAGGAAATGAGATATTTTTAAATGATATTGCTCTAATTATGATTCTTTGTAGAACTATTTGATATTTCACACTCAGAAAAGCTGAGGACATTACTACTTATAAGAGCAGAAGTATGCATTAAGTTTCATTGAGTTTATCTATTTGTTTATCTTTTGAAAGAAGACATTAAAAATAAGTATGTGCCTCTTTATTCCAGTAGGTGGCTCTAAAGTCCAATTGTTTATTTTTCTATAAAGAAACCAGAGCAAAAAATTGTGCTAAATTCAAAATATAACTCATTGAGGAGTATTTTCTGCTTAGTTGTTTCCCTGTCAAAACAAAACATTTTTTCATTCAACAATAATCTATCCATGTAGGTTCACAGAAGTCAATGCCAAATATAAAATGTGGTTTTAATATCTTATAACCTAAGATTTTTGTAACTATTTCATAGATCGAATTCAGACTATTTTAGGAAAATTGTTCCTTGTAATATGTTCTACAAAAACCTGTGAATTTGCAGTTTGTATCTTATTAACCTTAATCCTCACCTTTTCCCTCCTTTGAAAGTGCATTGAAGGGAGCAGTTTCTGTTCAAAAAGTTAGCAGATTTTTTAAAAAGTGAGTATGCATTTGCTTTATTTTTCCTAAATCTTCCAGTTAAATGCTTATAAGTATGCTGTTTCATTCTGGAGTTCTATTTCCCTTTACAAAACAATGGACTTCTCTCAACAGTTTGAATCACCTCTTTTTTTGGCATCTCTCAAAGGTTTAACTTATTAGCTTCCTTTCCAACAACATGTTGACATTTGAATTGTGACATATTAGAACTTTTCGGTGGCTTCTCGGAAATAGTGAGGTTAAAGAGACAATACCCTGAAAGACAGTAAAACAGTACAATTGTCTCTGCCGAGGAATGCTGCTTAGACACACATGCCAGATCGTCTTAAGAAAGTATTATGATATCATTATTTCTTTGTAACCCACAATTAATCATGTCTCTTTTAATTCCATCTTAGAATTATTCAATCTAATGTGAACAATCCAAAAAAGAAAGAAAGAAAATGATGGATACATAGTAACTGTATATTATAAAGACAATTCCCTTCGTCAGGACATAGATCACTACTGAAATTTCCCTTTAAGTGTCCAGCTTGTCATGTGAAGAATATTGAGAGCATAAAAAATAAAAGACACAGAAGAGTGTTGATGTTGGCTTTATTTACTGGAGGTAAAAGGTGACATTCCAGGCCATGGAAGGCAAGGCAAAGCAGTTGGTTTTAACTTCAGGGTGTTCTTTTAGATTTTAAGTGAATTTTTATAGTGCTCATGAAACTGAGGTTTGAAAAGAACTGGCAAAGGTTGGGCATAATGAGGGCAGATTCTGGGCATGCTTCCTCATATAGCAATAAGAATGTGCCTCGAAGTTCCACTTACCACACCCTTACCAATCTAGTTGTTGTTTTTTCAAGGTGTCACTACCCCTTGTGATCTCCATTATAGCTCATCTTTCAGAAGTTTGGAGAGGCTCAAGAAAAATTATGCTTTACCTCTATAATTACAATGACCCAAAAGGATGACTTAAATATGAATCCAGTAATGTCTTTATGGGAAGTTGGTGTTAACATTCTAGTATTATTACTAAATAATAACAGTAAATCAGTAGGCATTTGAAAAATGAGAGGAGTAGGTTACATGAAAAATAATGATGTTTTGTTGCCACAAAACAATTATATGGGGGAATGATGGAGTATAATCTTTGAGAAATAAAGACTTTCAGAAAATAAGATAGCACATCTGTGCTTCTTTACTGTTATAAAATAGATCTTTCAGAAAACAGAAATACAGTGAAGAAGAGATTTATGAAGATTATTTCTGGAAGTTGTATATGAAGTATGCTTGACCGTACTTATAAAAATATAAATATAATATCTTTTAAATAAGTATATACTAAAAAACAGATATAATTGGCCTATGAATTTTATGTCATCTGAATTGCATATGAGGATCAGAAACACTACAAATATAAGCTCTCTGGGATCTGTATTAAGGAAAATGAAAGGTAATTAATTATTAAGTTCCATGAAAAGGTTAAAGGTTTTCTCCAATGGAAAAGGTATTTGGGATCCAAATAAAAATGTCCAGACCTGGGATTTTGTGAGGAATTCAACTCAAGTATATAAACAAAAGGAAAAAAGCTTAATTGATACAAAAGTGTTAGTTGGTTTATTATTTTGCTGTGTTTCTCTAAGATAGCCCTATTAGAGTGGGAAAAAAAACAAAAAACAGTCATTCCCAAAATAAAGTGAATGATAAAAAGAGTGGGGCCTTATATTATAAAAAAAAAAAAAGGATTACCTGGAAATAGTATTTTTAAAATAAGTCATGATAAATATTTTTAAAGTGTGTTAACTCCTCTGAGGTTTTCTTTTTGGTAGTAAAGACCAAATTCCAGAAATATAACATATTATGAAAAGGACCTAAACTCTCCAAACATTTAAAACTTTTGAGAGTTGAAGTGGTCTTTTCATTTTATCATATTAAAAAATTAAAGTTTACCAATATCTTGCTTGATTCTTTTATTACTCCAGGAAGTTATATTTCTAAAGTATGGAGATTGCATTGGATCTCTGGTTACTGAATTTATGTAAGCAAATATTTACAGTAAATGTTTTATTAACAGACCTTTCCGTATTATTTAATTTAAGATTTCTGAATATATTTGTTTTAATTTTATCTCATCCAGATATTTGAAAATAAATCTGGAAAGCCCCAAATGTGTTCACTTTTTGATAATTTGAGGCACAAGTATAATGTTATATGTATATGATGGAAGTTGCTCTAAAAATAATCACTATATTTAGTTTATTGTAATCAAGTCTTGAAACCAGTTCCAAATAACTAAAGAATATCCATTTAGTTATTACCACAAGGGTAAGCTAGGGATAAAAGGCAGAGGTAATAAGGACTTGGTTTAGTGGGTTTTAGACTTTCAAAATATATATTTTCATTCAATGTTCTATATAACTATATTTGCACTTATATACATACAACACATATTTTATATATGACATATCAATGTGGCAACATATATATTTTGATGAAATGTTTTAAAAGTACATAAATGATAGTCTTATATTTTATGTTAAATGATTAGTAGAATATGATTAACTCTATCATATAAGTTATATGTTACTATATATTTTCTTGTATATTATATGTAATGTGTTATGTTATACAATTATGTATTATATAGAGGTAAAAATGGAATCAATCATATTCATTTAACATTCATTTTTTCATTCGTTAAATGCAAGAGTGTCACTAAAGAGAGTGTAGACATAGGCTTTTTGATAGGAAAGTTTTAAGTCATAAAAGACTTTTCTTCTTCTTTTATATTGTCTGGGTGTATGCACAACCTAATCCTCCATTAAATAGCTGATACTACCATTTGTATTTATTAATAGTTATAATCAGGGTTCTTGTTTATTGTCCTATAAAAGAGAAAAATCTAGAATTTGTCAGGCTTTCTACTTTGCTATACTAGGATCTACTTAAAGTACTGTTTTCATTACTGATATAAAAAATAATTCAGTGCACAAGGAAGAAATCAAGATAGAAAGAAAACATATCATTTACTCTAAAATAGATGAACAAGGCCTTATTGTTATGAATCCTCATTTATTCTTTCTGGTCAAGCACTGGAAGTTTTATTTATGCTTAATAGACTGCATTTGGCATGTCTAAAAATGACAGAAGTGTGAATTATGAATGACCTTCAACCTATTCAGGAAGTTGTAATAATTGAAATAATAGAGAAAT